GTTGATGCAGGTGAAGAGTTTGATGATCCTGGAAGATACAGGAGGTTGGTGGGAAAGTTGAACTACCAGACCATTACCCAACCAGATACATCATTTGTTGTGAGTATGGTGAGTCAGTTTATGCAACATCCTCGGGTTCCTCATTGGGAAGCTGTTCTGAGGATTGTTAGGTACCTGAAGGGTGCTCCAGGTCATGGTTTGCTATACCGAAGTGGAGGGACCCTTGAGATAGTAGGGTACACAGATGCTGATTGGGTTGGTTCTATATCAGACAGGAGATCAACTACAAGGTATTGTACCTTCCTTGGTGGCAATCTTGTAACTTGGAAGACCAAGAAACAGACAGTGGTGGCAAAGAGTAGTGCAGGAGCTGAATACAGGGTCTCATACCACATGTGAACTAGTATGGTTGAAGAACTTGCTACAAGAGATGGGATTCTCAGTTGATAAGCCCATGAAACTATTCTGTGATAACCAAACTGCTGTTCACATCTCTTCCAACCCAGTCTTCCATGAGAGAACTAAGCATATTGAGGTTGATTGTCACTTCGTAAGAGAGAAAGTGATAAGTGGAGTGATAACCACATCTCATGTGAGCTCAGGAAATCAGTGGGCAGATCTCTTTACAAAGGGATTGTCTCGGGGTAGAGTAGATTATATTTGTAACAAGATGGGACTATATGACATATACTCTCCAGCTTGAGGGGGAGTGTTTGAATACTCGAATCATGGGTATTTTGGTCATTTTGGTTATGCCTAATAATATTTAAAATATTAAGAATCTCGAATAGGCAGTTCTTATGGAAATCTGGAACCAAGAACAGTTTGTTCTTGAGTAGAGCTGGGAGTAAGTACACATTACTTTTGTAATAAACTAACAATATCAACAATTTATGTTTGGCCATTTTAGATGCCATGTTATGCTCATATTATTTGGGGCACATTCTGGCATACCTATACTGCCAAATATGTTTTTGCTTTCCAATGTTGCACTGCTAATGGTGATATCGTGTTGCTGGCAATTTACTGGAAAAAGAATTTAAAAGAAATGCAGGGAATTGCTAACATTTGTAATTATTTTTGGAACATGATTAACAGAACCAATAATTGTTTATTAATTTAGATTTTTTTTTCCAGAGGTATTATCTAATTTCATATTGTTTTTTGTTGATCAAATAATACATGTCAAATTCAGATGCTTGAATTGGTCAGCACTAGGATTGTTTTCTATAAGCCAAGGATATAAACGAATAATTTAGAATAATACTYGCAGTTTTTTTTTAATGAATTCAATATTCTAACTTTGAATTTCTGTATCTAACATCTCTATTTAACCATCAGGGTCTCATAAGTGGCTCAGCAGAATTAAGAGAGCAAGCAGCACTGGGTTTGGGGGATTTGATTGAGGTGACCAGTGAGAAAACATTGAAGGATTTTGTTGTCCCAATAACAGGGTATGCACATAAATAATATCATGATTTAAAAATGTGGTTTTATGTTTTATTTGAGTTTAAGGGTCATATTTTGCATTTTGGTTTAGTCCATAAAAAAAATTATTACCCTTAGGGGTCATGTTTTTTTTTGGTCAGTCTCAATGTGCATAGGTTTAAGATTAGTCTTTTTAAGAAAAATGATTTTATTTCGTTATAAGCTATATTCTGTTTAAACATGTCTGTTCATAGGTCTTTTTAAGTAATAGATCTGTTTTGTTATGAGTTTGTTTTTTTGGCTTTGATCAACATATTGAATTAGTAATATAGAAAAGTTGATCCCACTGTATAGATCTTTCTATGTTAAATTGTCATGTTTTTTCTGTAATATGATATCAGTTACAAGGACTGGTGATTTATATTTAAACTGGACAACTGAAAAATTAGGATCAATCATATCTTTGTCATATGGCACTGGGAGAAAAAAGATGCATGAGGTTTGAAAAACTAAAATCCAAGTATAATAGATTTATTGAAGAYATTTATGCTGAAAAACATGGAGTACTGGGTTCTTTAAGGAATTTGAAGAGTTAGGGGACTGCGAATTAAAAATAAGATTGCAAATTCTGTCAAAAGTTAATTGGTGCACATATGTTCCTGCCAATTTAAACTATTTTGCTTGGAGTTTTCACTTCGACAACAAAGATGGATGATATTATGAAGAATTGAAGATAGATGTCAGCATAAACATTGTCAAATGTATGCCCAATATGTTTTGACTTTTAAATGTAATAATTATTTTGTTGATTTCACCCCCTTTTAACTGTTTTTACAATAATTGTTGAACATGAAATAACTATCTCGGGAGGTTTTTAGCGCCTTTTTTTTTGGTATTTCAATGTGGCTTTGGTCCCCACAAGGGCAGGCCCTACTAGTATAATGTRGAGAGCTTAGATATCTGTTCCTATCTATAATTTTGATCTTCACCGTCTCAAATTAACTGGCACCTTATGACCAACTCAACAAGAAGTTGGTTGGTCTTTTTAGTGTCTGATGTTTAGATTTCCTCTAAAGTAACCCATCCTAGATATTAATATGTATTTTCTTTTTAGTTGGATTTTGTATGCTTGGATATGTCAAGATTCACATTATTTGATCTGATAATGGTTGTCACTAATTTCATGGTTTCGAGTACAGGCCTCTTATTCGGATTATAGGTGACCGGTTCCCTTGGCAAGTAAAGAGTGCCATTCTCTCAACCCTGTGCACCATAATAAGCAAAGGTGGAATTGCATTGAAGCCATTTCTTCCACAGCTTCAGACAACATTTATCAAATGCCTACAAGATAATGCAAGGTTTACATTGTTTAATCTATCTTTTCTTTTCAGTGTATAGGCATGCCATTTCTATCTGGAAAATATTATTTATCTATTTTGGTACATCTTGTTTTCGTAAATCTCTATATTCTCTCATAATTGTACAGATCTTGATCTAGTAAATGATGTCCAATTTACATAGTCTTCATTTTGTCAGCTTCAATTTTATTTTTATTAAATTGCCTGTGCAGGACGGTGCGTTCAAGCTCTGCCCTTGCACTTGGAAAGCTTAGTGCCCTAAGTACTCGTGTTGATCCTTTAGTGAGCGACCTGCTGTCCACTTTGCAGGTGTTGCTTGTTATTTCTCATCCTTAATGTCCTATGAATTCTAAACCATATTAATATATTGGTGCTGAAAGAGTATCACTATGATTTAGGCATCAGATGGCGGGGTCCGGGAGGCTGTTCTGACTGCACTCAAAGGTGTCCTAAAGCATGCTGGAAAGAGTGTGAGCAGTGCTGTTAGAGCCCGTGTATACATTTTGCTTAAAGATTTGATATCAGTAGAAGATGATCAAGTTCGTAGTTCTTCCGCTAGAGTATTGGGAACCATATCACAGGTCTGATAAGTATACCATTGGAAAATGAACCATAATTTTAATTATATAAAAAAAATGAGCCTTAATTTTTTACTTTTCTTACATGTTCTGATAAGTTGGTTATAATTATAAATTCAAAATCAATCTTCCAGCATCTGAAATCTAATTTTTCTTCCCATCATGTTCTGATAAGTTGATTAATTGGGGCTAAAATATTGAAAATTTGGGTTTTATACATGTTCTTATCTGCCAATGATGTAGTGTAGGTGGTTATTTGGCTTCCCTCTGATTGAGGGCATGCATTCAAACACATGGAAAAGCAGGTTCTGCAGGTTGTGTAAACAAGTGTAGGTAGTTTGTGGTACTGTGTCTTTTCCTATAATTGTGCATGCCACCTTTGTTACTGCACAAGGTGAAAATGTAACTAGGACAATCTTTTGGACTTAAAAGTGAGGTGTTGGTTATTTGAATGGCTCCGTATTTAATTAGTAAATATTTTAGACTGCTAGGCATTTGATCTCTTTGGGATTAACAATTATTTCATTTGTACTAACAATTCCTTTTGGTCCTCTGACATTGCACTCCAATCATAGTACATGGGAGAAGATGAGCTGCTTAACGTTCTTGACATGCTATCAAATTTGGCTTCATCTCCTACCTGGTCTGCAAGGCATGGTTCTGTCCTCACAATCTCTTCGGCAATTAGGCACAATCCTTCCATGATTTGCCTGTCCCCTGCTTTTCCTTCATTTGCAGAGCACCTTAAAGATATGTTGAAAGATGACAAGGTATGGAAATTCAGATATTCATGTCATGGTTGTGCTATTTGTCTACTAGGCCTCATAGGTTCTTAACTCTCACACTTGGCAGTTCCCTGTGCGTGAGACGGCAACCAAGGCATTGGGAAGGCTCCTACTTCACCAAACCAAGAGTGTATCTGTTAATACCACTGCTCAGTTGGAATTCCTTCCATATGTGGTATTGACTTTACAGGATGACTCAAGTGAAGTCAGAAGAAGAGCATTATCTGGTCTTAAAGCAATTGCAAAGGTGTATTATTGATCCTTTATGCATTCCTTTTGTATTTGTCAAAATCTTCTGATTTAGATATGATACATGATTTGAGTCATGAATACTAAGGGCTTTATGATAAGATTCATGATTCAAATCATAAATCTCACAAACATTATTTATGCTAATTGAATCGATTCAACAAGATTCTAGTTCTCTACTTTGTCATTCTTTATTTGTTTTGTTTTTAATGGGGTTGCTTAATATCCTATTTAAAATCTTGGTGAGTTTATTTTCCTACCTATATAGGCTAAAGAGTCATTATATTCCTATACATGTTGTATCAACTTATGCTTCTAGTGTATAGGTGGTGAATACTTTGTACAAGTAATTGTAATATGGGTAGAAAATGAGKCAAAACCATAGTTTCTTGTTTTTATTTTCTTTTAATATATTAGTTGTACTAACATCAAAACCATAGTTTCTTATCCCAGTTATGCCTGAGTTCAACAATCAGTTCATGAGCTGGAGCCAAGTTATACAAAGCTCAGCTCGGATAAACTCTTTTACACCCTACCTTTCATTACCCATGGACTTCTATACTATTTCATGTTAAATATTAATTTTCCAGAATAATGACCATACCTATTGAAACAGCAGGCAAATCCTTTGGCTATTAAGCCCTGTCTTACAAATTTGGGTCCTGCACTGGCTGAATGTTTGAAAGATGGAAACACACCTGTGCGTCTAGCTGCTGAAAGATGTGTTTTTCATGTCTTCCAACTGACAAAAGGTATTTTCATTTCTCAATAGCATCTTTTCTCCTTTAACCGACTGTCCTTAGCTACTTATACTTGATCTCGCCTGATGCTTTTTTCATTTTGAGAATTCTTATGGTGTTCATTGATGATGGATCTTAAGACCTATGCTTTTAACCGACTTTTCCTTAACTGAATCTGGGAGAAATTGGTGGTTGCACAGAAACATGCTAATTGAGTTCTGTGGAATTAATAGGTACAGAAAATGTCCAAGCTGCACAGAAGTATATCACCGGTTTGGATGCTCGTCGTATATCAAAGCTTCCTGAGCACAGGTATTATATTGACTAATTATTATCTTTAATTTGACAACTTTGCATGGGCACTAACAGAAAAAAATGAGTTCTTGTGATTTGAATTGTAAGAATCCTTTAGTTTTATGATTCTTCATTAATTTCTAGGATTCTTGTGACTTCTAAATGATAATAATCAACTTTTATTGTGATTCAGTAATCACCTTAGTCGCCTTTTTCTAGTTATGGAGAACAGTTCCATCTACGCAGTTGTTAATTTTGCTTCTGCTTGAGCATCTCTTGCTGCAGTAATCAGCATCTTATGCTCCTAAATCCAATCCTGTTGGTCAACATTTCTCGTTTAATATGGTCCCTTTGTATTTTTAGTGCACAACCATATACGAGGAACTCAATCATCTTAATCATTTTTTTCTCATTTCTGTGTTTGTACAGGCACCAAGACAACTTCCACTCCCTTTTACCTATGTAGCAGTATACCATCTGTCATTAGTAATTTGCATAAAAACAGCATATGCATAGTTGTATTTGAGGTTGTTTGAAACAGAAAGACTATAATGGAAGACTAAAGTTAGGAGTACGGATCTGCTGACCACAATACAGTGCTGGCCACATTCATCCAGCCGCACATTGGGAATATTGGTGATATAAAGATCAAGAGATATTCCCAATGTGCTGCTGGTTGAATGTGGCAAGCAATGTCTTGTGGTCCAGATCCAAACAATAAACTTTGTTCTAATTAAACACATTCAAAGAATTTGTGATAACATCCTAAGTTCTCTAAGGTTATATTTGGATTAGGATAGGTTTGAAACTGGAGATGCAATTGGATTTGTTAATTCTGTGAATCTTTGATCCCATTGCGTGAATACATTTTTCTGGCATGGTATTTTGAGAAATAACCAAAGAAAGCTGGCAAGGTATTCATTCATTCCAGAGGGTGTGATTTTATTTCTTTGGATGAAGGTGGAATTCAATTTCAAATCCATTCCACTCCATTGAAACAAATGCCAGCCTGAAAGAGAAGGTTAGCTTAATGAATGATACAAGCCTAAAAGATAAAACAAAACCAAGTGCATTGTGGCCCTTCAAAACTGTTTCAGAAGTCTGGAAGTTCTTTCTGGATCTAAATTCTGACAATCATATTTGGKYTTCAACAGCCAAACATGTTTTCTGCCACCTGGAAATCACAGAACATATTCAAAGCTTTTTTATTTCCTTTTGTTGTCTTGAATATGGAATTGCAGTGATGGAAGCGATGACAGTGAAGATGATGTTGCAAGTGGCTGACAGATTGATGGTTTTCTTCACTCATTTTAATTCTAAAGTCCCACCATTCAGAAGAATTTGCTTGTAATGCTTGATTTAAAGTTCTCCCTTTGCCTTCAACAAAAATTTTCCAGGTGGAATTGGTTCCTTCTGCATTGGCATGCTTGATAAAAAAAAATTAGAGCAGAGAAAGGGAAGGTGCTTGGTTTGGTGGAACCCAATTTTTCCTCAACTGAAGCTTCTATTGAGGCCATGTAATATTGTATACGACTTGATATAGACCACAATGTATATTTTTCATTTTTTGTTTCAAAGAATTTGTTCTGGCATGAAATATCAGATGGATGCAGGAGTTGTCCTGATCCAACTTTACAAGATTGACTTGACAACGCAAATGACCAGAATATGATTTTTGTCAACCTTTGTCAAAGACATGGAAAGGGAAGCTGATATAGTAATTAAATGTGCTTTTTTTTTTCTCCCATCCAGGGTCCCACGCTGTTATATATTCTTTATATTTATAATTTATTCACTCCTTCCCTTACCCCATCACATTTATCAGTTTATAAAGTTGAATGGATGTCCCGATCTGATAATGCAGCCTAGAGAATTAACCATGTTTCGTTTAAGCTATGGTAGGGAAGCCAGATGTCTAGTTCACAAAGTCTTTTTTCATAAGGCCAAGTGGCTAACATCATTAGTTCACAAAAGTTCATTTCTGGCTTCACAATATTTTTACATAATTCGGTGTTCTAGTTTGAAAGCTTAATCTGAAATGTACCAAGGTTTAAAGTATTGATACTTATCAGCCAATCGGCCGATACACATGAGCAGTTTTGATCTGAAATTCAGARTGTAATAAGAATATCTTACAAAAAGATGCTTATGAATAAGGGAAATATCATTAAACCTCCCTTGAGGGTTTCTAACAAGTACTGAAACCACTCCTTATATTTTTTAAAGTAGGGCTGCAAATGAGTCAGATTGAATTGTATATACCTTGATCCAGATTTGATTTGTTAAAATTCGCATCTTAATTGGATATTATTATCCATTGGATTTCGATTGGACTGCATTTGAATATCGAATGTCATTAATAAATCATACTAAAATTATCAAAATAATATGTTTTTAGAAAAATTAATTAAAAGTGCATAAGTCCATTTTATATGATATATCATGAATAGATTGAATTATATATATATATATATATATATATATATATATATATATATATGTATATATAACAATTTGAATTTGGGTCGATTTTGAATTTGAATTCAGAAAACTAATAACATTTGCACCTTTGCAGCTCTATTTGAACGATCACTAATACCTACCCCCCTCACTCCAATTGACTGACATGACAGCACAAACCACAACTTACCTTCACCTTTTATGCCATCAATGTTTCTTCCATTCTGRCAATGTTAATGGTAGGGTCCTTTGAGGGAATATTCAAGGATTATGATAAAACTAAGGGTTAGTTTTAGACTAGTATTTAATGGAAAGTTTATGGGAGATATATGGATTTTTTTGGTTTATAAAGGTTCACTGGACACTGGTCAGATCTTGTTCCCCACACCAACAGGCCAATTTCTTTGAAGAAGAGGATCTTGGAGTATGTAGACCATCCAACAAATACGGGGGCCTATTAGATTGAGAACATGTTCAATCCCATCCAAATCAAACATATACTCCACCTTGCTTTGGTAATTCTCACATCTAAAATTAGCTATTCAATTTAATATAGGCTTGTCTTGCACACACAGCAAAGTGTTCTCTTCTTAAATTTTTCTATGAATACAGAACCAAAGACTCCTTTTAAGCTCCAAACTAATTTGCCATGTGTAAGGTTCTGTGGTCGTCCAGAAAAGCTCACCAAGTTACCCAACTAGTAGATGAGTTGGGACAGTATTGGGAGCGTTTTGTTGGTAGCAAGCATATCCCTACCCCTGGAACTAATCCAACACCTGATTTGTGTTGGACCAATCAACCAAAAAAGATCCAGTTGTTTACCTGATCAACTGTGTAAGGCCTCTCAATGAGGTTTCCCCTTTAAAATTTCTATTCTGTCGTCAGAATTGAATGTATGTATGTACTTTTTACATACCCATGTCCACCTTGTATAGGGACTGCAAAATCTGACACCAATTCAATGGCTAAACAACACCCTTACAAGGGGCCCTTTACAGGATCTCACATAGCTTCCCATATCAATAAATCTTTACTTGAGCGCTTAAATGACAAATCAAATATATGCCTCTAAAATTTCAAGCTTCATTGTAGAATAGAAAGGCTAAGGTCACTCTGTCTTTGACCCCTTCTAATTGGGCCAAACTGAGAAAACCCAGGGTTGGGGGGATGGGCTACCCCCCGGTTGTGTAGCCCCTTGGAGCGAAAAAAAAAACCATTTAAATAAAGTAGAATGTGTTGGATTCAACCAGATTCCACCTTAACCCATTAACCTTGTAACAACTTCAGTTTCATAAAAATGACCAAGTTTTAACAACTTAATTAGTTAGACATGGCTTAATAGTAAAAATGTCTTGGAGAATTTAAGTAGAATTAGGCTGCATTTGGAATTTCTTATTTTAAGTACTTTTCTCCTTTTTTACAATTAAAAACTCAGTGTTCATATAGGCGTTTTAGCTGSAAAAAGAAAATAAGTCCTTAAAAAATAAAGAATGCTGCCTTAACCAAAGAAAGTTAATGGAATAGCCAATGAATTTAAGGTGGAAGGACAATGGGAATTCAACCCGTGGTTGAACCAGCCAACCAGAACTGTTAGTTGTTGAACCAAACAATCAGATTTGTTAGAAGTGTAAAAAATGACTAGACCAGACCGGTTGATTCTATTAAGACTTATAACATGGTTGTTTGAAACCGGACTGAACTGAATTGGACCACTGAACCATTTGATTATGTTCAGGTTCAGGCTAATTCGGATCGAATATGGGTTGATCTGTGTTTGTGTTAAACTCCACTTGGAATTTATTACGACAATTGATTACAGGTTGGACTAATGCTAGGCATTAATGGTTTCAGTTAATAATTATTTCTAGTAATTAACAAAAATTAATGCATTAATTTTATGAATTGAGAATTTTTTACAATAATCATGAATTAACTCAATGAGTTATTTGAATTTAACAAAAGGGACAATTGGAATTAATTAAAAAATAGGTAGGCAACTTACACTTGTATTATTAGAGGTTAATCCATGTATTCACAACCCAACTCAACCCAATTCATTTAGGTTGACCCAAATCACCCAACAGRTAAGTGTTTCAACCCGTTTCCAACCCACTAAAAAAATAGTTGGGTTATAAATAGGTGGATGTGGTTGGTTCAATGGGATGGGTATGAACCATCTCTAACTGTTCACTTAGGGGTTCTCATGGTTCAGTTCTAAACTGTGGGTCAATTTTCCAAACTGTACTGGTAGTACCAGTTTTTAAAAACCAGTAATCGAAAACAAAGCTGAAACAGATCGATTAACCGGTTGATTGGTTTGGTTTGTCAGTTTTTTTGGTGTTTTATTTTTATTGTCTATATTATAAATAAATATATATAAATTTAATAAAAAACTATAAATATATATATGTAATATTATATTATAAATATATATTTATATATAATACATATATATTCATTTATAATATATAGATAATATAAAACATATATAAAAAATATATATAAATATATATATACAGGTCGACTCGATTAACCACCAGTTTTTTATATCAGTTAATAGAACCCCAGATCCTAAATAAATCAAATCTAAATTTAGATTAGTTAACCACCAGTGAAGACATCTTATCTGGGCAGATTTTCTTTTATCTTTCATTCTTACTAGTCTAAGGCATATAAATACATCTACACACATAGGAATGAGGAATCCATCTCTTAGGTCTGGCCTCTACTCTTAGAAATGAAAATTCTTGACCCAATATGACCCGTCAACCCACCTGCCCAGCCAGTCCTATCAGATTGGGGTTGCTGGTAAGCTCAACCATACATAAATATATAACATTTTCTCTAGAATCTCTGTGGTAGGTAGGAACTTGATCTTCCCAGAACCACATACCAACCCTTGAAACTTAGAGAGAGAGAGAGGAGGAAATAAACTTACCTTACCCGTTAAGACAAAGAATGAGTAAATAAATAAAAAAGCAGCAACCACAAAAAGCGGACACACTTGGCAGCAAAGAGTAGGAGACTTGTAAGCTTCAATCAAGACCTACCTTTTGTGCACTTAATGACTGAACTGCTCTTCATTTAACAATGAATGGGGAGTAGTCCTTTCTAGGGCTATCTCAGTAAATCTCATCTGTGATTTCTTTGTCTTAGGGAGTAAATAATAAATGGATCTGGTTCCTGATGATCCTTCGGGTTGAAATTTGGTTTAGGAAAGAGTCACTATTCACGACAACTCCTTGCCTTTAAAGCCAGATCAAATGGCTGTGCATTGACAAAAATGACCCTTTGATGATACATCCTATCATCTAAAACTTTTTTTCAAARTATCGAGCTACATATGTAAGCCTTGCTTAGGATACCCTAAGAGCTGTTTATTGTCCTCGAAGATATACAAAAAAAAGAACCCTCTTTAATTAATTGATGTTGCACGTGTGAGAGGATGGGACCCACCTTTTCAAATCCCTAAAAGTGAGATAGATCAAATAGACTGAATGTGTCCCAGTACTCCTACATGGACCCTTTGCTCCCAAAAGCCTTTCCAAACAACCCTTAATAAATGTTCTAACTTGAAGAAGCTTTTCCTCTGAATCAAGAACCCCAGATCCTAAACTGAGCTTTTTTCTTTATGATCTTTCAAGGGTAGTTGGTTAGGCAACAATTTTATCTGACATTGATTGATAAGTTAGTTGAAGAGTGGAGGGAACTAAACAAGGGTGACTGGCCTTATCTTCATCATAAATTATTTATTTATTAGATGTTGTTAGTATCTCCAGGTCTTTTGTATTTGATATGACTTTTAAAATCAAAAGTTGTTTGCATATTACTTGGATAATACTAATTAAACAAATTTAGTTGACAAGGACTTAATATCTAATAGCTTTATTAATCTCAATAAATGTTTTAAAATCAATGAAATCATATTAAATAAATGCTGATGACTGCAATTGTCAACAATAATTTTCTCAAAACCTTCTGACCACAGTGGTTAAGCACTAAACTAAATTAGGAGGAAATAAAGCAACAGTCTCTACAGATAAAGACATCATAATCATCTTAAGGGGTTAAGGCCCTAAACCATTTTAAATGCATGAAGAGGGGGAACGTGATGGATTACATGGACCCAGTTGGACCCCCAATTTAACTATCACTTTAACAAATAACAGTTCATTGAATTGCCATTGTATGATCTAAATATAGAATCTGAATTATATGGCCAATAATAACTCTATCACCACTAAAATAGTTATATAACTCAGTTATTTATATATTCATATATGCATTGATATAAAGAAACAACAAAAATTTGGGAACACTATGACCATTAGAACTCTAAGGATTAGGGTTCAGTGTTTGTTATTTCGTCATTTTCCATTGGCACTGGAACCAAATTCATCCAAAAAAACATAGTTAAGTTAATACTATTTTCCAATAATTTGCCTAGACTCGAGCCATCTTGTCTTGAATTGAGCTTTTTATGCCGCTAGGTGTGGCAATAGATGAACTCCGGTCGGCTTGAGTCAGCTCAGACCTCTATAGTATGGTGATTGCGACCTGTTTGCTTGGCTTACTTTCTTATCTTCATCTGTTCATTAGTATTAATAACAATTTGGATTTGATTTTGCCCCAACTCTTTAAAGAAAATATATCTTGAATGTTTGACAAAATAGTACATTGAAAAAAAGGGGTCCTAATTATTTGCTTTGTATTATTGAAAAAGGAATTAATAAAGGAAGATGCATGCTTTGTGTCATTTTTTTTCCTCCCACTTCTGTCCATTTTGATGTTCTTTCCATTTGACATCCAAACGGGCCCTTGGGTTGATATTTAATATGGGTTGTTAGGTAGGAGACCAAATGAATCAAGATTCAAGCACTAGAATGGTTTAATATATACGAGAAATTAGTGGCCGAGAAACTTGCACAAAGAGACCAAAATTTCGTGGTGGGCATTTTAGTCATTTCAGTCCATATAGAGACAATTGCTGAGCTTCAGGAGAGGAATGGAGACTGGCAGCCATTTTTTTCCCTTGAATGAGCTAAGAAGCATTCGAGAATCGAGAATAGAAACTTACCCATTAAACTATACATATTTATTATTTCCATATTTTACTATTATTTTATATTTAATATTTTATTATTTTATTCCAAAATGTACACTTGGAGAAGAGAGCAAAACAGCAAGGATCAAGGGGGATTGCTTGTAACCCAAAACACTAAACGAGAATAGAAGCCTCCCCATCTGTTCAAAATTCATCACCCAAACCCTAGAAATAAATTATATTATATTATAATTGTCTTAAAACATCAAAGAAATAATATGGTGTTCTTTGGGAGTGAACTGAGAGGCACTGATATGGATGGATTGGTGGTGGGCCATGACTGGGTCTGGGTGTCCTGATGGTTGAAGCAAGTCCTGATGGGTGGGAAGCATGCTTCACCATGCTTGAAGGAAGTACCAAATAGAGATTTCAGAAAGAAGTTAAGAAATAAATAAAAGAAACCCACAGAAAAGAGTGAAGAGTTCAGCAGTGAGCAGAGAAAGAAAGTGTGTGCGGTTTCAAAAGTATTTATGGCGTATTGTTTGGTGACAGATGCATATTCAAGGAGTAGAGGTGTAATTAAGGGTGTGTAGAGATGGGTAGGTCAAGCTTTTATAGTGCGTTGAAGCTACTGTTCTTGCTGGTGCAAATGCAAATGTAAATGTTCTTCCATCATCATGATGATGAACCAGAAGACCTATGCGCAGGTTAATTAACGTGCACCCACTACCCATCTGAACAATAAAAGAGAGGAGAGAGGAGAGTGAAGAGAGAGAGACAGAGAGAGGCTCCCTTTGTTTCAATTCCAGTCGTTTTCCAAGTTCGTTCCCAGTTCCCATTGTTGGGTTGGTGCATTATTAAGAATTTAAGAGCTAGGGCTCTGATTTGTTTGTGCTATTTGTTTTACCAGTAATGGCGATCTAGGCTTCTCAGTTTCTTGGTGGCACTGAATGAAATGGATAACGAAACCAGAAGGAAGAGGCGAGCCCCACCTCTTATTTTGGCTCTCTTCCTCCTTGTTTTCTTCCAAAGATCTACAGTCGACGTTTTGGCTTTGAACTACACAAATTTTAGACATGTATCGAGCTTGAGACTCGCAAGAATTCAGAGACACTTGGACAAGATCAACAAACCCGCCATTAAAACCATAGAGGTTAGTTTTCTCATCATCACCGTTCCATTGCTCTCATGTTCTTTGGTATCCTTCGTTCTGATTTATGGACTCCTGGGTAGACCTTATTTTGAAGTTCCAACATTTTCTCATTCATTTGTTCAGAGCCCAGATGGAGATATCATTGACTGTGTTCACAGACATAAACAGCCAGCTTTAGACCATCCTCTTCTGAAGAATCACAAGATCCAGGTACGTACACAGAATTAAAGCTAGCTCTCTCTCTCTCTCTCTCTCTCTCTCATGAGTTTGCTCGTATGTCTGTAACAGAGAGCACCACCAGAAATGCCAAGAATGAGAGTGAGCAAGGAAGGAGAAGGGATGAGAAACAAGATTAATGGCAGTGAAGGAACAGGACGTGCATGGCAAACATGGCATCTAGGTGGGGAGAGATGTCCCAAGGGAACGGTTCCCATTAGGCGAAGCTCAGTGAATGATGTATTGAGAGCCAAATCTCTGTATCACTTTGGGAAGAAACAACGCATACGCAGGCTTCCTCTTGACAGATACGTTGATGCTCCCGATGTGGTCAGTGGCAATGGCCATGAGGTATTTGTGTTCTATCTATTCCTCGTCTCAGACTTTCTGTAATCTTAATACCAAGCAAACAAATTAAGAAGAAGATGATGGTTAATTTATGGTTGCAATGGAATGAAGGTTACAGACAAATAGATAATCAGAGAAGAAACCGTCTTTTTAATTTGAGTTTGTGTGGATATTTATATATAATCAAGAGACCAGTTTCTGAGTTTCATCTCCTTCTGTCTAACTTTAACTTTCTTCCATTCTATTTCTATTCATCACAGTTTTTAGAGAGTGGGTGGACTTTGGCTCTTTTGTTTTTTGTAAGAAACTCTACAGAACAGAAAGCAGATTTTTGTCAATTTCTAAACTTTGTCTTGGGGGTTGGGGCAGCTAATGGTAATTTTGTGAAGTATTATTATTCTAAGGAGTAAGGAGGATTCAAATTGTCGAAGCTTGTTATACGATGGTGCAAGGCCCATAGAATAGGATTGTGAGGAGTGGGGACCACTGGATTAAGGGTCTAGATCAACATTTCTTTTCTTTTCGTGTACGTTTAATTACTTACTTTACATTTACAGCATGCAATCGCCTACACGGGATCATCAACTCAAGAGCTGTATGGAGCGAAGGCTACGATAAACGTGTGGGACCCATCAATCCAAGTGGTGAACGAGTTTAGTCTTTCTCAGATTTGGATTCTTTCTGGATCCTTTGACGGCCCAGATCTCAACAGCATAGAAGCTGGTTGGCAGGTACTTCTTCTACAATTCTACAGTTCTACCCAACGTCATTATTTAATTAATTAGTAAGAAACTAAGAACTCGTTGAAGTCAATCAATCATATTTAAATATTTTCTGAAGCTTTGATTCTTCTCTACTAGTCAGGTCAGTCCGGAGCTTTACGGGGATAGCAGGCCCAGATTATTCACATATTGGACGGTCAGATCTCTCCCTCATCAACTCCATCTTCCCCCTCCCCCCCTCCCCTTTTTATTTTTCTATACATAAAAAAAAACAATATCTAAGGACTTTATTCCGTGTATTATCAGTACAAATGTATAGATGTTACACAAATGACATCTGGCATACGTGCTGGGTGTGAAAATAGTCTCCACCGTAGAATTGGTTGTCCCAACTAAGAGATGCCTTCATCAAGATTCAACTTGATCTACTGAACTGTGGGTCCCATCCAATGCATAAACAAATACAATTTAGAATATCACAACCGTMTGATGTAGACCTTTTCCCCAACTGTTCTTTTATATTCTTCTTTTTAATATCCTAAAGTTCCCCACCCATGATTAAAACGGTTGGATGTCCTATCAGTAAAATATTCCTTATTAAATGGGTTGTCTATATGGGCCTGGCATACTTCAAGCCCAAAATCCTCACACAGGCCCAGTGAAGATCAATCTTTAGGGCTCACTATTAACGATCTTGAAGGGTTTGGCTTGGGACAGAATTAGACTGAGCCCAGATCCAACAGCTCACCCTCTGATCAAACGGTCCAACCTGCGGGTCCTGTCGAAAAAATGGTTCGGTTTAATGTGCAATCATCATACATCTGGTTGGGTTGGCCTACCATTAATGAACCATGTTTATCTGGGCTTACGGCCCACTAATCACAATATTTCATCAGTGTGATTGTCTTCATTTTCAATGCTACAGAGTGACTCGTACCAAGCGACGGGGTGCTACAACCTTCTCTGTGCAGGATTTGTGCAGACAAACAACAAGATTGCCATCGGAGCGGCCATTTCTCCGGTCTCATTGTACTCCGGCAACCAATATGACATCACCATTCTCATTTGGAAGGTCAATTAATTCATCTAATTCCACAGAAACAGAATTAGAGAAAACTAAGATGATGGTTGGTAGCATTCCATTGAAACATTTCTGGTGCTCTGGAAACACTGTAACCATTTTCGATGGAATGTTACTGAACGCTGCATGTAAACAATCAAGGTTTTCAGTTTTTTATCAACTCATACTTACCAAATTTACTAACAATTTGGTAAGGAAAGAGATGTTAGAATTTTACTAACATAGAAATGGTGTTACTTTCATAGAAAATAACGTTAGACTAGGAGAAGTTCTAGGGTTTAAGTGAAAATTCTATGGCTTCTCCAAATCAGATCCAACCTTAGTTCAACATCCAAAAATAAATTAGGATTTATAGCGTCTTGAATGCTTAKGAAGACAGCTTGCCAAACGGCCCTTGGGAGTTGGGAGTAAGATTGTACAGTATCTTGGCTATGGGCCTGGGCCTTATTGGGCTGCATCTATCTAATGGGACCCAATTGTAGATTTAGTGGTATTCTACTGTGCTAAACTCAATTTTGTTCTTCTACAGGATCCAAAGATAGGGAACTGGTGGATGGGCTTTGGTGATAACACACTAGTTGGGTACTGGCCAGCGGAGCTGTTCACACACCTATCAGATCATGCGAACATGGTGGAATGGGGTGGAGAAGTAGTGAACACACGGACTAATGGTGAGCACACATCGACGCAAATGGGCTCCGGCCATTTCGCAGAGGCAGGGTTTGGCCGGTCAAGCTACTTCAGAAACCTGGAGATCGTCGACGCCGACAACAGCCTGAGCTCAGCCCAGGACATCTCCACCCTCTCTGAAAACACTAACTGTTACAACATCAAGAGCTCCTACAACAATGAATGGGGCACACACTTCTACTATGGTGGGCCTGGGAACAACCCAGAGTGCCCATAATCTTAAGTTCTTGTAGAACCTTAGATGCACTTATCATCTACAATCTCAATTCTTTCTTTCTATAAAATCTCTCTCTCTCTCTCTCTTGTTCAGAAGTCCTTAAAAGTGTATTGTTTTGTAATACTAAATCTTAATTAATCTAATTATCTTTTTTTGGCTCTATTAAAAGGGTTAAGAGGTTCTTTTTTTTTTTTACTTCATGTTTTTWAAAATATTATGGTTGACTGAGGGTTTAAGATTGTGGGCAGTCGATCAATTAATATTTAATCAAAGTACTTAAAAAACTAATCTTAAGAAAAGTAAGAAACAAATAAAAACAAAGACCAGTAGTTCTTGACTTGTAGTGTTTAGAGCATGGATTTGCTAACCAACCTATCAACCTACACTACATTGTGCAACTGTGGACTGGAGCTACACTGGTCTATAGGCCTATAGCCAAATATCCTACTGGAATGGGCTTTATTTTTTATATAATTTGACTGGTCTCTGTTTTAGTTTTAGAGTTCCCTTGGTCAGATAGTCAGAATTATCCGACTGGTGTTTCATGTTTTTTTTTTTCTTTTTTTTTTTTTTCAATCTGCATCTATTTGATCAAATAAAACCTCCTAGTTCCTGGGTTTTGACTTTTGGGTAGGCTTTCTAATCCATAAACTGAGAACAATACTGAGACGAATTAATGGGTATAGATGGATTGATGCTGGATCAAGTTGCTTTGTGGGCCACTGTCAATTGGCAATCTCATCCGTTTATTCCTAATTTCCTATATTAAACCCCATTTATTATTGTATATTTTGTACATATGAGCGCTTGAAGAAACCCTAGAGAAAGGGAAAAGTTAAAAATATTAAAAAAAAAAACAGAAATAAGAAAAAGTCTTAAGGAAGAGAAGAGATTAAGAAGGGTAATTAGCATAAGACAAAAGATTGAACAACAAAGTCTATAATGATTATATCGAGGTTAGGGACTCTGATCTCAAAGTTAGCTTTGTAATTTGGAGAGAGAAATGGAAGGAATCTATCACCTCGAAACATCAAAATAAAATAAAGAGAGGCTCAAAGCAGAGGCTGGACTCTACAAATGGGTTTTGATTTCTTTTTTTTTTTTTTTTTTGGATTTTGGTAAAGAGGGTTTTGATTGATTGTTTTATAGAACCAAAGACCATTAAATTTGAGTTAGTGCAAAGCATTCAAGAGCCCTGGTTTGGACAAGTCAAAAGGCGGGGAAATAAAGGCAAACGGGACCAACGTATTCAATCACATTTATTAGAGGAGGTTGGAAGCTGAGCCCATTTGGATTGGAACTGAATCAGTCAGCTACAACTCTAGGGAATCAGGGAAATGGACTTTCTTCCTCTTTGATGACTCTTTGGTAGGTGGGAAACCCCAAATCCCCAAATGGGTAATGGTGGGAATTTATTGAGAAAACTTGTTAACTAATGAAAGTTATATGCTCAAATCCCTACTCTAAATACTATTGAGCCTTTCTTTTATGTCTAAATTAAACTATATATTAGTAATTGAGCCTCTTCTTGTGTATTAGCCTGATATTTTCTAAATGTTTGGCCTTCCCATGGTTTTTTTTCTTGGGCATCTCTCATAAAGCTCATTTCCCACGAGATGCCAAACAAGATTTCATGTAACTATGATTTAAAAGCTGGCATAGTATGGGAAAGTCCACTCAACTATGTTACAACTGTTTTTGTATTCATGGGTCCTGTGCAAAACACAGCTAAAGTTTTGAGAAATATGGGATAATTCAAGTCAATCTCTCTCCTTTCCTACTGGAAGGATATTCAAGGTGGATATCTTCATAATCATTTATGAGCCCTCCTTAAAACCATCACATTGGATTCCATATTTTACCTTGTATTGGTGTGAGTAACTCCTTTCTCAGATCTGGATTCATGTGAGGGAATTTGAGCCCATCCACATTTGCTACGACAGTATCGTCGTAGCCCTACACTGAAACAAGCAAATCAAAGCTTTTGATTTATCGTCATGGCCCCACGATGAAATGGTTTGTGGGTGGGGGCATGGGGCCACTGCAGTACATCTAAGGTCATGATTTTAAACAGTGTTGTAGCAAAAGTGCACTCATTTGGGTCCTATTTGTATTAATTAGTCGAGGCCGAGTTATCCAGCTTACAACTTATGAAGTTGTGGTTTGGAAGACATGAGCATGATTAGGCACCTTTCTACACTTCCTTTTGAAGCCCATATAGGCAATTTTCACTATGGCAACAGGTATTCTTTTCTACAGCGTCTCACTCCAGCAGTTCTCCCTCAAGCATTTGTACCCTATTCATAGTGATTTCAACCTTAGATTTAGTGTTCTTGATGTATATGTGGGGTTAATGAAAGTTTTCGTAATGTTTTAATGTGTATTCAAATCTTTCTATTGTATTTATTCATACATATCCAAAGCATATCACAATATGTATCTATATTCAACCTTACCAATATTTAAATCTTGCCCATCTATAGCAATTTTGTCCACYTAATAGTGGGTGTAGAATTGTTCTAATTTTTTCTATTTTGAAGGTTTCCAAGAAGAAACTTTTACATTTAATAGGTGGCAAGGGAATTTTTATTGATTTTCTAAAAAAGAGATTGAAACTAATTTGCTACATCTAATTTTTTAGCGGCGGTTTTTACTTCTTACTAAATAACCCAACTAGCAAACCTATTCCTTGTACAATCATTACTATATTATGCCAATACTTGCCTTGGCCTCACATCTAATCATCCATTGAAATTTTTTATTCCATTTCTATTTCTCTCTCCACAATCAACTCATGCATAAATAAATACATGTGCCACTCAACGAGTAAACTAATATATATATATATATATATATATATTATAGGTTAGGTTATAAATTTTTCTCCTCTTTGTTGCTAGTTGTGGGCCTATGGTTATGGGCTGTCCAAATTTTTCTTATTTATTGAGTTTGAGGGGAAGAGATGACTAGAATGGCATAGAGCCCTTGGCTTTATTTTTGTCCTCGGGTAAGATGTTTCATAATAACATGCATGATATAGTAATAATATATATTACATAATATAATAATATTATAGTTTCAATGTGATCTCTTCTGTAACTTTGTTTCAATAATCCATAATGAGAGAGAGATTGAAGATAATGTTGTCCATAGAATTAGGGAGAGGATGCTTACATGGAGAGATACAGTTGGAGTTTTATATTATAAGAGAATAAATACTACCTACATTAAGGGGGTGTTCGTTTTTTGGATTTTAAGAGGGGGAAAAGTTGGTCAATGGTCAATTTCCATCGACCAAGAAAGGCATGTTCTTTTTTTAGATTTATATGGTGATCAGGGAAAATTTATTTTCCTAGGTATCATTTACTTAGGTAAGTGATATCCATCTTCCAGGTAGGTAAGTAATTTTCCTACTTGGGGGGAAAGTTGCCAACACTTTGATGGGACAAAATTACCCCTTTAATAGTGGATTTTTATGGTTAAAACAATCATTGTATTATTTACTAGAAAATAAAAGAACATTGGTAAATGTAGTTACCCGGGTAAATGTTTCCTGATAACCACTTTACCGGGGTAAGTGCATTTACCTGGATAAATAATTTATCAAAAAGTGAGCAGGGCCTAAAAGGAAAATTTTATAAAAATGTAGTAAAGCGCCAACAATGTGGTATGGGGCTAAGTGTTTAGAAGTCAAGAAATATGCAAGTGTATGATAGGAATGCAAATGTTAAATGTTAAAATGGATAAGTGAGGAAACATAAAAAAATGAAATTATTTGAAGGAGATTAAGAGTCAATCTAATAAATGAATCGAGGAAAGGTAGACTAGGATGATTTTGGCACCTAAAGAATCTAATATCAATAAGGAGGACCCAAAAAGGATATAGGTTGAAGCAAGAAAAATGATTTAAAGGTCCATATTTTAACAATGGATATGACACTAACTAAAATGGAATAGCAGGGAATAGGATTCATGTAGCTAATCTCATATAGTTGGAATAATGCTTAGATGATGGTGATGATTATGCTATTATATTATAAAATTTTATAATATTTAGGATAAAGCTATAATAGTAATTAAGCACTTGTAGAAATTTAGATATATCATAGTTAAGATAGAAATTGAAAATTAATAAAAGTAGCAATATGATTTAAAATAAACTTAAATAATTGTACCAAAAGTGCACTTGTAGGAATTTTAAATTACAATAACAATTATTATTACTACTACTACTACTACTACTACTACTAAATTTTGGATTCCATTTGTCCTAAATAAAAATAATTTTTATTTTAACAATTATTTTTATTTAATATGTTGACTATATAACATTAGAAATGTTCTGAAATGTTTGACAAAATTCTTTACTTTTTTATTTTTTGTGTTCTATTTTTTTTAAATATTTATTATTCAATTATGACATCATCAATTTCTTTGAAAAGTTGGATCATTGACCCACCATTTAGATAACAAAATAGCATTGCTTTCAGATTAATTCAGTTTTAAATTATATATTTCATCAACATTATATAAAGAATTTTTACTTATCATTAACTTTTGTGTTCTATCTCATCAATATTTTTAACTTGTTGTTGACTTGGCTGATTGAACCGTTCAAACCGTCACTCGGCCTTGATTTTGGGTTTGGTTATGTTGAAATTCCCCCTTTTAGTTAAAAGTCRTCTAACTCGGGTGGTTCAACTACTGACCCGTTCGACCTAGTAAGCAGGTTGTAGGTTGCACACTTAATTATGTGCAAACTTTTGGAAGCCATAACTTTGCACTTTGATGTCCTAATGGCCTTAAGCGCCTTGCCTTACTATTTTTTGTGAAAACCCCCCTTTTTGGTCCCAAATTGCAAATTTTTAATATTTTTTATAAATAAAAAATTAAAAACAGAATTAAAAAATATAGATAAATGTAACATAATACATATATTATATGTAATTAATATTTGTAAAATATAATTATACTATTTATCGATAAAATATGTATTTTTACACACATACAAATATAGTGTTGATATAGAGCAGTTTGACTCGTTTGACCTTGATAGTCGAATTAGTGACCTATGACTTGAAGGCAAAGATGGGTTGGCCTCTGGGTCAGTTTTTAAAACATTGTTTATTATACTTATTATTGTTTAATATGTCAAATATAAA